GCAATTTTAGTTTTCTTTTCTTTTCAGGATATCTTTAAAATACTAATAAAAATAGTGACGCTCTCACCATCAACTCAATAAACCCCTGAGATGTCAATTTAGGGTCCAGGTGCACCTGTTAAATATATGTAGAATAGTTGTTTAATCTCATCAGAATGGTTAAATTACTTGTGAATTTGACTCTAAAAGAAAACAGCACAATGAGAAACTTTTTATTCCTGGGGAATAAAAACAATCCAAGTTAGTGGGCATGTGTAGACCATACTGACATGACCCTTCTTGCTGTCTCTTGTATTTGTGCTTCCACACTGACATACACTTCATAATGTACCTAACTACATGTATTATGGACAGAATGCTGCAGAAAATATTTAAGAGTAATGATGTTATGCCCAGCCAACTAGGAAACATCTTTGCTTCTCCCCCTACCTCTTGAACAGACCACCTGAGTGGAAGGGGGTGGCAGCTTTAGGACATTAATGTGAGGGGTCACAAACTGAAACAACTGGCTCAAAATTTGCGGGAAGAAAAAGGTATAGGAATCTTCTTTTATTGTGAAGAAGATTGTGACATCTCACTTGTAATTTAACTGCTATTTTCTTTTTTTTTTTTTGTCTTTTGTCTTTTTCCGTGTCCGGCAACAGATCGCAACCCTCAGTGTTGCCCCCGTACCGGACCGGGGACCGGCAACAGGACTGCAACCCTCGGTGTTGCTCCCGCGCCTCGCTCAGCCAGTGAGCGGGAACTGGTCTGCATGTGGGATCCGAACCCTCGAGCGGGAACGCCGCCGCGCTTCCCAAGCGGCGCACTATCCAGTGCGCCACCGGGCCGGCCCCTTTAACTGCTATTTTCTATCTATGTGCAGTTTGTAACCTGCAAGTAGATGTATCAAATATTAGGTATTGTTATTTAATAGAGGTCAAGATTTAAGGGCACAAAGCAAATGTGTCCGGCTCACATTGCTGATCTATATTTTATTCCTCAACATTAACGGTATTATTATTCACTAAGCATTTACCATGGACAAGGTGCTGTACTAAGGCCTGTATATATTCTCACACCAACTCAGAGGTAGATACTATTACCCCCATTTTAAAGTTAAGGAAACTAAGGCTCAGGATTTGCACATGGTTACATTAGTCAGAGACAGGGCCAGGATCAAAATCTAGGTGTCTCTGGGGCTCAAGTCTCTGTGTTTATCATTATGTTATACTGCCACTGATAATCTAATTTCAGTGTTGAACAGGTGATCAGATTCCTTTCTATTTATGGATTAATTGAAAATAGAAGTTATGGGGCTAGCCAATTAGCTCTGTTGGTTAGAGTGTGATGCTGATAACACCAAGGTCCAGGGTTCGATACCTGTACCAGCCACACAGCTAAAAAAAAAAAAAAAAAGAAGAAAAGAATATACAAATCATATAATCACATTCGATTGACCTGTTAGAACAAAGTATGAAAATGAGGCCGTAAAAAGTGCACAAAACAAGTAAGTTTCACGAGTGAGGAAAGAAATATTTAAAGCAAAACCTTTTTTTTTTAATTGCCCAAGCTCTTTCAGCTCTGAGCTAATTTCCATGAACAAATATATGAAACGTGGCTTTATTTTGGCATTATGATTTTCATAAAAACAATAAACAGCAGTCTCTAGCAAGTTACAGAATTTCAATATCATATAAACAGTAAACTATTAAAGCACTTTTAAAGTTCAGAAAAATAAACACGTATCTATATGTCATATCAAATAAAGGCAACTATCATTCTGAAAAGAACACTAAATACTTCAGTTTCTTTGACCTCAACCTCAAGTTTCTGCCTTTGAAGTCTTCAGTTCCATTCAAAGGTAGAAATCTGGGAAGCCATCTTGGTCCCTGACCTCCTCCGCTAAGCATGCTACATTGCTGGCTGCACTAGTACTAGGCCAGAGTATGCCTTCACTCATTCTCTATCTGTATGTAGGAACTAATATTTCTAAAATTCATAACTGGACAGGTAAGTCAAGACAAAACTATTTTCTGCAGGACACCAAGTAATCACTCTTCTTTAACTAAAACCAGGGAATCTCTAAAACCAAGAGAAGCTTGGTGAAAGTGAAGCTAAAGGCTGACAGCAATGCTTGTAGATTTTTTAGCACCTACATTTTAAAGGAGTTACATTTCAGAATAACAAACTCCATCTTGTTTTCATGGTGCGGAAGCCTGAAACATTCCCTCTGTGAGATGAAGGAAACATTCTGCAAGAGGAAACACTTCTGCAATGAAATGATGACTATACATAGCAGTATCTTAAGGTAAACTTTTATATTCAAGTAGTGATCCAACAAATAAGGATCTTGCATTGGGCCCATCAAAATTGTATCAATGCTTTTTAGACAATACTAATGCACATTTGCAATGGACAAGAGTTTAAGACAGAGTATCTATTTAGTTTATTTTTCAGGTTTTCCTTTCCATCTTGTAAATTTGAAGATTTATTCGACAAGTACTTACCAAGTACTACTATATATTAGACAGCATTCTAAGTACCAATAGTGATAAAGTGTCTAGAGCTGATCTAAGAGATAAAAATTCTGCAGTAAAATTTTACTAGGAAATGATGGGTGAAAATTGAGGCATTTAATACTACTATTAGGAAAATGTAATGCAAACCTATGTATTTGGAACCCCACTTAAGAATATAAATTTCCCACTTTCAACAAAACATATAATTTTTTTTTTTTTTGTCCTTTGTCTTTTTCCATGTCCGGCAACGGATCGCAACCCTCAGAGTTGCCCCCGTACTGGACCGGGGACCGGCAATGGGATTGCAACCCTCGGTGTTGCTCCCGCGCCTCGCTCAGCCAGTGAGCGGGAACCGGTCTGTATGTGGGATCCGAACCCTCGGGCGGGAGCGCCGCCGCGCTTCCCAAGCGGCGCACTATCCAGTGCGCCACCGGGCCGGCCCCCAAAACATATAATTTCAGCGTCTTTTCCACTATGGTAAAGAAGAGTACGAAAACTAAGGTAAAGCCAATAATAAATAAATAAAAAATTTCTAACAAGGTTAAACGATAGAAACATAAACCAAGCCGAAATACATGTTATATCATTAAATTTGTATTGCCAATTCATTGGTGGTGGTGGTATGTGTTTGTGTCTGGGAACAAAATACTCTTATTTAATTAGTCTACTAAGGGATCCAATTCTTTCATATGCACGTTAAAGGAATAAAAAAGTTGATTCTCAAATGATTTCACCATTTGGCTACAAATGTTAGGACTAAATTTGAATGCCTGCTAACTAGAATGTCTCCTCAACATTTAACATCACTCATCTTGAGCACAAGGAACCAATTCCTAAAACTTAGGTCTGAATCAAAAACCGAAAATCGAGAAAAATCAAAAGGTAAGCACAAAAGGGCCAACCAAAAAGTAAGCAGTGACAAGAGATTAAAGCCAAAAGACCAAGTTGCTAAGTTATAGGGAAGCTGCTGTTCATTTGGACCTTAGCCCAGAACACAAAAATTTGGAGGAGAAACGCTGGTGGTTTAAAGAGAACAAGGTTTCTAAATTTGCTGCCTCATTCCTTTATCTGCAGAAGCTCCCTCTGATACTGTTTCTACTGAAATGGCCAAAACCACACTGGAAAATCCAACAGGGCTCCAAAGCTCTCAGGTGGAAATCCACTGTTAAAAAATACGTACAGAATATATTTAAAGCTTAGATCAGAAATTTTATGTTCTTTGGAATGGTCAAGCCAAGCTTATGAAAATGAGACAATGAAGCATTTTAAAACCTCTCAAAATCCTTTAACATGACTAGAGAGCAAAATTATCTGTACTCTCCCGAGCTTCTGGCTCTTCCTTTGACAAAATGGATTTCTCTCCCCGTCAAAGATTCTTCCTTTAGGAATCATCACCTGCCCGTGGTGCATTTTCTTCCTCAGGAAGGCATCTGCACTGCAGATCTCTGCATAAGGGGAGCTTGCCAGCCAGCTCCCACCAGCAGGCAGATGCGCGTACAATGGAAACTAAAGGCGGCCTGCAGCTTCCCTCCTAGTCTTTCAGAGATGGGAGAAGGGGGTTCAACCAGCCCCTGCTTTGTCTGAATTTTCTCCCCCTCCCCCCTTTCTGCAGTAAACACTCCCTTTTGTTATATTTCGATCAATAAAAGCCTACAGGAAACATGAACTCAAAACATGTTGAAGGCTTGGCATGGCTCTATTTATTATTTTCTAGAATAAAAGTGACTGATTGCACGTCCCCACCCCCACGCCGCGCCAGTGAAGAGCAGGCTGTGTTGCAGATGCAGCCACGGATCCATCTTGGACCATCAGCAGCTCCCTTCCAAATCTTCCCTGAGCTATTCTCATCACGCCTCCTTCTTTCTACATCAGAGCCTCAGAAAACTCGGGCATTCAGTTTAGCCGACAACAGTAAAGAAACGAGCTACAATGCTTCATTAAACTTCCTCATCCTCCCCATGGACAACCAAAAATAATTTTGTGGAATACTATCACGAATGTCTAGTAGGTCAACACCTGTCTGCAAACCTGCAATGCAACCCTTGCACCACTATCCCCTCAAAACCGTAGTGAATCGTTTCTCGCACGACCCACCCGCCCCAATCCTCTCCACCTCTCTAATCCTCCACACAGTCACCCGGTTCAGCGGAGGGCTCTTTGGTCTCCCGGAACACGGCTCCTCATGTCTCCTCGAGCGATTCTCCAGTTCATCCCTCCTTCTCCGGAGCCAGTGCTTTTCCCCACCTGCCCGGTCTCAGCGTTAACGCCCACTCTCTAGACTCTCTCCCCGCCCCCAACCTGTTTCCCTCACACCCCGTTATTTCCTCACCGCCTGCCCGACCTTACGCTCCCCTCCCCCTTTGCCCATTTTCCAAACGCTCGTCCCGGGGGCCGAAGCCATCTGTACTCGAGGGTGATTCGCCCTCCTCCCCGCCGCCCCAGCCCGCGGACCCCGCTCGCCCTCTCTCCCAAGGGCAGGGGCACCCCCGCGCGTCTCACCCGCACAGGAGGAGCCGCAGCTCTTCGCCCCCAGGGCGGGGCAGGCTCCCGGGCTCCCGCCGCCGCCGGTCGCGGACGGCTCGGCCCCAGAGGACGACGAGGAGACAGACGGGGACTGAGTGGCCGCTGACGGCTCCGCCATGGCTACGCGAGCAAAGGTGGGAGAAGAGTGAAGAGAAATGTGGGGCGGGAGAGAGGGAGGGGAAACAATGATCAGCCAGCTGGCTCTCAGATGTCCCTTCACTCCGCCTGCTGCGAGGACAGACTCCGACAGACTGACTGACTCAGCCCAGCAAGGCTAGAGGGCGGGAGCGCCCGCGCGCATGCGCACACAGGTCCCTCCAGCGGGGGGCGGGGGCGGCCGGCAGCCGCGGAGAGGCGCGCCGCGAGCACGGCGCAGGCGCAAGAACTGTCCCTGCAGGGAAGGAGGGGCCAAACCCGCCCAGTGCGCGGCCGGGGTGGGGCGCGGCCCTCGGGACCAGACGCACGGGGCGTGATCAAGCGCCAAGCTCCGCCCACCAGTGCGGCCAAAGAGCTGGGGACTGCGGGGCAGCATTCGTTCATGTCTTTTTGTGGATGTTTTGGGCGTAGCAGATTATGTATTTTAACGTTATAAGTTTCTTTGTGCTACCATTAGCTAGAAACTATCTTTCCCATACATTCTAGAGCCTGTGTCTTTTGTATGATGCGTTCCCGCTGGTGACGCCAATGAAAAGTGAAAAACCACAGTGTAGAATAGGCCCACTCTGCAGGGTTTTATGGATTTATGTGGATGTGTCGTAATATCTTTGCCAAGAGGCAAAGATGGCACGGTCCTCACTGGTAGGTGGGGAAAGATGCTATACAGAATGAAAAACTATTACTCATTCCAATCGCATTGCAATGCAGTTGCAGAACCTGCTTCATATTCTTATCTCATTACCGTTCTTAAAGAGGAGACCACCTTCTGTCTTAAGATTGTCTTTTCCTCCGAACAGGCTCTCAGAGAAGACATATTATGGAGGAAAAAAAGCTGAGCTGATTAAGAAAGAAGAGCAGGAGCTAAGAACATCCTGGCTGTGATTATGGGGGATGTTAAAGTGAAGTACTAAAAATTCAGAGTAAGGTACAAAATACACAGAATTGAATTTTATTCACAGCCTAAAACGAGTCCTTAGCAGAATATATAATTGAAACGAGACATCTTATATTGGGCTTTATTCATTTTTTGATTCTTCTGGGTTGGTTTGTCAAATTCAAAGCCTTCTCCCTACCTCAAAATATTTGAAAGATACACAATCCTTTTAAAAAGGCGAATGCATCCTGGAAATAATAAAAAATCAAGGCTGTACGCTTTGTTATTGCTAAAGTGGCAATCAATGACCCAAAGGGCAATTGCAGGATCAGCACATCCTATAAAGATGCAACCTCATGAAAGGGAGGTAGGCAGCCAAGCATCCACGGAACGGAAAAGCGATCTGACTGGTGGAAATCTTCTAGATGTAAGCTGTGGACTACATCTGCCCTTGACAATTTTTAAGGTCAGGTAAGGCCAAGACAGGGAAAAACCAAACCAAACAAACAAAAAACTTCCCGGCCATTGGCAACATTCTGAAAAAGGCACACAAAATATTTTCCAAAAAGGGCCGGCCCAGTGGCGCACTGCTACAGTGCGCTGCTTGGGAAGTGCGGCGGCGCTCCCGCCGAGGGTTCGGATCCCACATACAGACTGGTTCCCGCTCACTGGCTGAGCGGGGTGCGGGGGCAACACCCAGGGTTGCGATCCCGTTGCCGGTCCCGGTCCGGTGCGGGCGCGACACTGAAGGTTGTGATCCGTTGCCGGTCACGAAAAAAGACAAAAAGGAAAAAAATATATATATTTTCCAAAATAACTTTGTGGCAAATATCTTACCCTGGCACTTATGGCATCAGTTGATAATGCAGCAAACTGTCCCTTAGATGGCAAAGGGAAATATAAACTGATCTGATAAGCCGGTTATCTCCCCATTCTGATAAATGCATAAGTTAAAAAAAATCTATATTAGATGCTGTGTAAGGAAATGAATAATGTTGTATATACATAATGTTGACAGCACTTTCTAGAATCTGGAGACCTCAACTGGAAAAGCCAATTTCCCCAATATCTAGAAGCAGAGAAAAGAAGCTAAAAATCAAGACACTTAGGTGGTCTTGGTAGTCTCTTCAGACCCTTCAGAGACTTTTTTACAGAAGAAGCCTTTGTGCTAGGTCCAATTCCTGAAGTTGTCTTTCCTTTCCGTTTTCTCTTGCTGAGGCACCAGTCAACTTGCCTGAGACTAATTCTTTGTTGTTTTTTTTTTTTTTTTTGTCTTTTTCCGTGTCCGGCAACAGATCGCAACCCTCAGTGTTGCCCCCGTACCGGACCGGGGACCGGCAACGGGATCGCACCCCTCGGCGTTGCCCCCGCGCCTAGCTCAGCCAGTGAGCGGGAACCGGTCTGTATGTGGGATCCGAACCCTCGGCGGGAGCGCCGCCGCGCTTCCCAAGCGGCACACTAGCGCAGTCCGCCACCGGGCCGGCCCCTGCCTGAGACTAATTCTTTGTTGTTTTTTTTTTTTTTGTCTTTTTCCGTGTCCGGCAACAGATCGCAACCCTCAGTGTTGCCCCCGTACCGGACCGGGGACCGGCAACGGGATCGCACCCCTCGGCGTTGCCCCCGCGCCTAGCTCAGCCAGTGAGCGGGAACCGGTCTGTATGTGGGATCCGAACCCTCGGCGGGAGCGCCGCCGCGCTTCCCAAGCGGCACACTAGCGCAGTGCGCCACCGGGCCGGCCCCTGCCTGAGACTAATTCTTGCTTGGGATGTTTGCATATTTGTATATATGGTTTGTTCCATGAATGTTTATTGATTACCTGCTCTGCGTATGACACTATCCTGAAAACTATGAAGGGACCCAAAAAATATGTTTGTCTTCTCTTCAATGAGCTTACAAGCTAATTAGGACATAGAACATACTCATACAAAGTTAAATAATACAAAGTAAATAGCAACCAAAAACAACCCCGAACAACACAAAACCATAGTGCTTTGATTAGGTGGCAAGAGAATTGTATAAATTCGCAATTTAAAACAGGGTAGGGAATCAGTATGGAGTTACAGTGGCTTGGGGAGATTTTATGAAGAAGCTCAAAGTTGGATAGTAGTTTGGAGTTGTAAGGAGGCCATTAAAGGCAGAGAAGTTTGGTGTGAAGCAAACATAGGAATTGCTTTTGTGCATTTATACTAAAAGGCACCCCTCTGGGCAGACGAAACACAATAAAAGTACCTTTTTCTCCTAGCCCAGCCCATGATACAGTTCCATGCTGACTTGTCTAGCAGAATGTGGCCTAGATTTGATCTCCTCTTGACCCCTCTGCCTTGGCGCAACACACAGACTACACAGCCATATGTGGTGGCTGGAGGCTCAGAAAGTGTGACTGTGTATAAGTTGTTTTGGGTGTTGGTTAGACCAGGTTGGCTGGAGCTGAGGACTTCAATTGGGACAAAAGGGTAGATAAGGGAACAAGATATAAAGTACAGAAGAGGCCTAGTCAGTTAGCTCAGTTGGTTAGAGTGTGGTGCTGATAACACCAGGGTCCATAGTTTGGTACCTGTAGCATCCAGCTGTCCAAAACAAAACAAAAGAAATGGGGAAGACATGTTGGGGCCAGAGTGTGGAGAAGCAGTAGTATTGCACTAAAGAACTGAGGCCTTGTCTTAAGGTTAATGAGGATTCAGTGAAAGTTTTGGGGCAAGGAATGGCTCAGATGGGATTTTTTAGATGGTCACCGGAATGTGGCCATTTCTCAGGAGTTCCATTCAGCAACTTTTACTGCTGAGGCACTGTGCTAGGTGTCTTCTTCCCTGTCCCTGTCTTTGTAGGACTGGTATTTACAAAGATAATTTCCCACCTCAGCTTCTAAGCCATCTCATTACCTTATTTTTCTTGACTTTTGGAAAAAAAATTATATATTTTAATTTAAAAAGTTTTTGAATACATTTACAGGTTATTCACTTACATATGTACATAAATAGCCAAAAGTATATATACTGTAAAATTTTCTTTTATCTCTAACTCCCTTCAGCCCTCTATACACACATAAGTAACCACTGGGAGGATCTCCTTGTGACAAATGCAAGCAAAGGTGAATATGGCAAATCTATATCCTTATTCACAAATCCTTTTTAACACAAATGATAGCATGCTATACATGATTACGCACATTGCTTCCTTTCCTTCTAGTGATCTTTTCTAGTGTTTTTTTTGAAGTATTAGACAGCCGTATTGTTGGCAGAAAAACCAATAGTGAAGCAGCTGACAAGCTCTTAAGCATTTTCTACATTACCATACTGAAGCCCTAATATTCAACTTTATAACACCCTGTGAAGTGGGGTTGACTATTTTCTTTTCGTAAACGAAAACCAAGTCATTACCCCTTTTTACACACAAGAAAAGTAAGGAACAGATATTTAAATGATGCCCAGTGATGCAGTATTCCAGTCTGTCCCTTTCGTGTTGCTTAAACACTGATCCTGCACATAGTTGGTAGAAGGCTGAACCGTGTCCCAGTACAGTCATAGTGAGTGATATTTACTTGGCTGTTTACTCCACAGGACTGTGAGTCTCTGGAGGACAGGAATGTGTCTTACGTAGCATTATTACCAAGCACAGTGCCTGGCACAGAACAAATGCCCTATTTTTGAAAAGCTTTGGAACTGAGTCATGGTGGATATCATTGCAGAAAACAATTTTGCTATTTTTGTACTTCATAAAATACTTGAGTATCTTGAATATTTATGACTTTGTTTTGCTTTTCCAGAATGAATATGATGATTACCAGTTTTTGAGCATTAACCATGTATCAGTCATCATTGCCAAACACATCTCATTTAACCTACAACAACTCATAGGTACTCAAATCATTTCACAGATGAGGAAATGGGTTCAGAGAAGTTAAGTAATCACCCAAGCTCGTACAGTTAGTGAGCATCAGAGCCAAAATTCAAAGCCAGGTCATTCTGATCCCAAAACCAGTGGCCTTAGGCACTCAAACATGTCTGCATGTCACCTACTTCTAGAAAACCACAAGGAAAGCTCAACCTCTGGTCATACGACATGACTCAATTCAGAGATGGCCGAAGGCAGGTTGGAATCAGTATTATCAGTACTAGCATGTCGAATGTCCACTGTTTTGATGACCCTGGATGCTTGAGAAGGAAATAAGAGAAGTTGCTTTCTAAGCTGTGACTAATCCTAAAGTCCACCTATAATTTGTATTGTGTTGTTCCAAATGCCAAAACTTCT